AGGGAGAGGTAGGGTGAGGGTGGGGGGGGGGGGTGAGGAGGAGAGTGATGATGATGATGATGATGTGAAGATGTGAAGGACAGGTGTTGATGGTACGAGTCACTTCAGTGTCGTAAACCGTTTATGCTGTTTGAGTTTGATGGTGGACATGTTGAAAACCAAGCAAAAAAAAAAAAAAAAAATCTGGATTCTGGTCAAATGTAGTAACAGAGCAAAAAGTCTTGCAGTGTGAACGCAGCCAAGGTGACTTTTGATTGGTCGGTTACTGAGACTAAGTTTCTAGAGTGACGTTTCTTTGACTGATGATGTCATCGTTTGATTTTTTTTGGGCCCCCAAAATCTGCCCGTCAACCGTCAACCGTCAACAGTCAACCGTCAACCGTCAACAGTCAACAGTCAACAGTCAACAGTCAACAGTCAACAGTCGGTGTCTGTGTTTCAAGTCGTAAAAAGTCAGGATGGCTCTGAATAACATAACTTTTTATTAAACAATCGTTCGACAGACAACTCTCTCGACATTGAAAGAAAAGGGAGCTACAAATGACCAAAAAAAAACTTCTTTTTTTTTTTTTTTACTCCAAAAAAGACTCAATTCTTCTTCTTCTTCTTCCAGCTAATAAAATGTCTCTACCTTTTCTGACTAAGCAACGTCGGGTCGACCAATCCCCGACCTCGCGCTTCTCCTTGTACACGCCAAGACATTTATGTACAAGGTTCATCATGGGAACATAAAAACTACTCATTTTTGTCTAAAATACAAGAACTAAAAAAAAAAAAAAAAAGCTGAACTTCAGTACAATGGACAAGAAGGAACACAACGTTGTTTTTTTTTTTTCTTTCATAACAGGTAAATACTAAAAAAGTACAGTATCTTTTCTCGATATAAATACATGAAGGATAAATAATAATAGAAAACAGAACGTCTTCTTCAACTGGCTATAACAAATAAATATTTAGATATGAATGTTCACGCCAACACACATCGGCGAACGACGCTTTGATTGGAGGACCTTTTCGTCTTCAAAATAAGAATTTATTATTATTATCATCGTCGTCATCATTTGAACTTTAACCATCAAAATGTAAACTCTAAGTGCAACAATGATGCCCAGCTGTGAGAAGCACGCGTTTGAATCAGCACCGTTTAAAAAAAACAAAAAAAAAAAACAAAAAAAACACACCCACCGCGTCACCTTCACCGCAACAGGTTCCGACTGTTCCGGATTGGTGGTCGTTTTTTTTTTTTTTTTTTAAACGTGTGACGGACAAAGCAGCTAAGATTCCTGGGACATGCATTTTTGTTCAAATATATATACCCTGTATCCACGATAAAAGTCAAGATATGTGAGAAGAAAAAAAACAAAAAAAAAACACAAAAGACATTGGTTGGCGCTAATATAGGTGTAGCCTTCCAGAGAGAGAGGGGAGAGAGAGATAGAGACAGAGAGAGAGAGAGGGGGGGGGGGGGGAGGCCACCAAACATAAATTAAAAGTGTTCTCCACTCTTATTATTTACCCTGTGTCGCTGATGTGCTAAAAATAAGAATGTTCCAACCCCCCCACGACCCTCTGCCCCCCCCCCCCCCTCCCACGTCCTGTCATGTGTTCGTCGACAGCTAGCCTACCAAAGCTAACTGTGGATGTGTGTCAAATGAACAGAAGCTAGCTAGCTTAGCATCACTCATTTTGTGTGTGTGTGTGTGTTGTGTGTGTTGTGTTAGTGTCAGGTGTGATTGTAGCTAAAGTAGCCCCGTTTACCAGACGTCGATTCAAAATCACTACACTTTCTTTAACTAAAAAAGTATCGGGCAGGGGTTTATATGTAGTTAAGAACACCCTCTGCAGCCTTTTTCTAGAGATAGATAGACAGACAGAGACAGACGAGACAGCCAGGAGACGGACGGACGGACGGACGGGGAGACAAGGACAGCGCCACCATCCAGTGGTTTTTTTTTTCTCCTCCTTCTCCTTCTCCTCCTTCTCCTCCTGACTCCTCCTTATTCCTGACTCCTCCTACTCTGCGGCTGATGGAGAGGCAGAGCCTCTGACATCAACATGTGTCGCCTGCAGGGGGCAGAAAGCCGGGGCGTCATAAATCTAACCACCTCGTTAACTGCCCATTAAAATCTCAAACTATTTCATTTACCAGACGGGGGGGGGGGGGGGGGCGTCGTGTGTGTGTCTTGGGGCGAGGGTTTATTATAAATGTACAGTTTAAAACTGCATTCTAGCTCATAAAGGGCCATTACACACTTTTATAAACTGCACGCCGGCAGAACCAGAGCTTTAACCACCGGTTCATGTCACAGACGCCTGCTGTCACCACTAGAGGTCGTTTTGAGAAAGCGGTGTTGGGGGTTCGTTAGGGGTATTACTATTATTATTATTATTATTATTATATAATTTGGAATCATCACTGATCCATGTGTTGGTATGTTGAAAGATCAGGACAGCAACTACTTCCTGTTCAACGACTTCCTGTTCAATAACCCCATAGAGCATCATGAAGACGACTAATCCAGTTTTAAAGTTGTTTTGAGATTCACGTGACTTTTTTTAGTTCAAAGGACCAAAACAGCTGGATAGAGATGTGAGGGTTTAGGGTTCGATTCCTGTTTTTGTCAGTCTGGTGTTTAACCACTGATGTGATTTTTTTTTTTTTTAACCCCATAGAGCTGAAGAGTTTTACTGCTCCCTGGGGGGTGGGGGGGGGCAACATGTCTGTTCAGAACCTAATGTTTGATTGACGGCCCGGGGAGAGTGAACTCTGAGTGTAGCCAACGTTAGAGGATTCATGTAAACATCAGTAAAACAAGTCAAAGATAATTAACCTCGACGTCGTCTGAAATATTTATGGCCATGAAAGAAAGTTTGCGTAATGAAGACGACCGCAGTGGAGCGGACGCAACTGGTTTGGGCTCCATATTTTTGTTTGCTAAACGTCTCGCTCCGTTTGAATGGAATCAACGTTTGGAGTCGACAATAACAGCAGTGATGCTAAACATAGGGGGCGCAAACCACTGGATGGCACCCGTCTGTCTTGGGGTTGTCTCCCGTCTGGTCCCGTTGCAGCGCTACGGTCCCCCCACACGGGGGCAGTCTGTTAGTGGGTCACATGACGTGTTAGGTGTTCTGTGTTGTCTTCACTACTCCCTACATGTGGTTGGTTGGTTTTTTGTTTTTGTTTGTTTTGTTCCAAACCTGCTACAGGTGAGTGAGCTTGGGTGCTTCCTGGATTCTGCCCTGAGTCGAGGTGTGGTGCCCTGACAGCTCAGTGTACGTCGGGTGCGGGGGCGGCTCACAGGTCCCTGGAGGGCCCCCTCCACCCACGTGGTGCTGGTTGGCGGCCGACATGGGCCCCGCTCCGTTGTAGTCCATTGTCTGGTGGTGGGGCGGCGTGGGGCCCAGGTGGTTCAGCCCGTAAATGGAGGCCCCCGAGCCGGGCATAGGTTCCACGTAGCTGCCGCCCCCCACGTAGACCGGACTGGCCTGCATGTTGTTGGGGGTCCCGTAGCCAGCGCTGTTGGCCTGCACCAGGCCGTGGTGGGGGTGGGGGTCGCCGTAGTCCGGGTCTGGGGCGCCGTACTTCTGCTGCGAGGGACAGCCCTTCATGGGAACGTTGGCGTAGGCAGTGGACATGGAGTAAGACACCCCCTGGTGGTGCTTCCCGAAGGACGGAGGAGATGGGGTGTCGTAGCCTGGACCCCCTCCTCCACCCATGGGGTGCATGGAGTTGAGGAAGCTGGCGGAAGACTGCATGGTGAGGGGCGGAGACCCCGTGGGCGAGGGTCCTCCTGAGCTGGAGCTGAGGCCCTTGGACTTCTGGTCCTTCTTGTACTTCATGCGTCGGTTCTGGAACCAGATCTTGATCTGGCGCTCCGACAGGTTCAGCATGTTGGCCATCTCCACCCGCCGCGGCCGGCACAGGTAGCGGTTGAAGTGGAACTCCTTCTCCAGCTCCACCAGCTGGGCGCTGGTGTAGGCCGTCCGGGCTCGCTTCGACGACGCTGACGACCCGCTGGTCGGGCTCTTCTCCCCGCTGCTTGCGCTCTCACA